CCTTACAGGATTAGCCCTGTAATGTGAGAAAAAAACAAAATGAGATTTCTTCCAACAACAGGCTCTCCCAACCGCTTAGAAAGTTAACAACTGGTTCTTCCGAATAGGTGAGAACTGGCTGAATCTCACCACTTCATGTAACCCTGACATTGTTTTTAGGGGAAAATGCAGGTAATCTTTGCTTAGCAACCACTCACAGTTACGACAGTGATGGAAAAGTAACTTTATGACCAATTCTCACACTTATAACCTTGTATGTCTGTAAAGCAAAGAAAAGCTGAGGCAAAATAAGCAGTTGTAGTTTCACTTAGCAACAAGTTCATTATGACCGAGTTCTCAGGTCTAATTGTGGTCACTAAGCAAGGCCTACCTAAACTATTTCTTGCTGAGTATAACATTCTGTTTTCCTGCAGTGTAGAATGGGTTGGACCAATCCAACTGACTTACACAGTAGAACCGAACAATGTAAAAGCAGCAAGAAAGCTCGGAGAACATTTCACTGCAATTGTCCACAACTGCCCCATCCATGACAGATAGCCATCCAGCCTGTTTAAGTCCTTCAGCAAATGAGAGACTCTTCTATCTCTGGAAGAAGTAATGATTAGCCCTGACATAATCAGGAAGAGTGAAAACTTTATCAGAAAGAAAAGATTTGCAGGTGCAAGGCTAGATGGCTATTCAGAATATCTTGGAGATAATATTAAGTAGCCACAATGGAGCAATTGTTCTCCAAGCAGCTTTCCACAATCTGTAGAATTTTCAGACACATAGAATTACAGCTTCCACAATTTTCAGACGAGATTTGGTTTGCTAAAGGTTCTAAGAATTATACTGGAGTCAAACATCTCTAGATGTTCCAACATCTTCAGATAATGAATAAGGCAAAAGATGCTAGAGAACAGGTAATTTTTCTCCTTTCATCCCACCTCCTTTTTCTTGATAATAATAAAAAAATTCACAATGATTCAAGTCCACTTCTCCATCTGATGTTGGTTTTTTATTGGGTGGAAGCCCAACTCACAACAAATCCATATTCCTTTAAAGAGTAAGGCAAGCAACAAAGTGATGGACAGCCTGTGAATAGCTGCAGGTAAAGCACAGAAAGACACATACAAAGGGCCTCAAATAAAATACACCAGTAGCACAACCGTAGTCCTAAACAATTAGGCAGGAAATCCCAGAAAAAAGCAGTGTGTTACATTGTATAGCGCTTCTCTTTATCTGCCATGCTTTGTGCCTCACATAGGGGAACCTTTATTTTTATTCAACACCTAAGCCTTTTTCCCAGGGGCATGAACTGTTCAGGAATTGGATTTTTTCACCTTTTCATCCCACTAAGGAGGTTAAACAAATACACAGCTTAAACTTTTTTAAAACAACAACAACAACAACAACAACAACAACTGTTTTAAGTATTTGTAGTCAGCATTTAAACAAAAATCAAGGGGCTTCTGGGAGCAGCTTTTCCAATGAACAAATCTATTAAAATTGAGCTTGAAAAAGCTGCTACTAGTCTCTCACTAAAATAGATTAACACAGGTCTCCCATAATGCACTCAGAATTATTTGACATGCCATTACCATGCATAAAGCAGCTCACTAAGGTTGGGCAATTAAAAAAATATGCACCCCATTCTAGCTTATTCACTATAAAGCACTGCCTGATATAATATATAAATATATTTCAATAGGAGAATTGATCAAAGTTTGTTAAAAGATATTACTTTATTTCCCTGGGCAAAATCCCGATTAGCTCGATATCTTCTTGAATTTATTTCAGGTTTATTTTGATCAGATCAAATTTCAGACACATTGTAATGTTTGAAATACCTAAAATGCCTTAAAATGCTACACAAAATTGCCCAAAGCCCAGGATCATGTACACATTTTTTTCAAAAGATCTGAGAGGAGAACTGGAAGGTTACCAGAATAGAAGTAGGGGGGAGGGGGGAGAGATAACTCACCTTAAAATGCATGTATTTGGGAATTATCATTAGGGAGAACTCCACGAGAGAAAATGAAGTTTTAATTATTTCTTAGGAAATAACTGCCAGCAAGTCCCCTCAATTGCAGTTCCATGTACAATTCCTGCCCTTTTATGCCCTCTAGTGGGACGTAAAGAGATTGTACAATTACTAGCAAATCTTAGTGGGACACAAAATTCAGTGTGGCTCCCACAGGGCTTCTCTGGAAATGCAAAGGATCCAGCATTGCTCACTTTCCAGCCAACTATGAACTTTGCAGATGGAAGGGAAACCCTGGTTGTTGTGAAAATATTGGCATTTTATGCATGATTTCCCGACCCCGTTTGCACGTGCCTTCTGTCACAGGGCGAGGCCTGCTGATTTTGGGGATGTCTCTCGTTTCCTGCTGTGAAACAAAGGAAAACTTTCCCACGAGTTTAAAAACAAACAAAAACGCGTGTAAAAGTGCCCTTGAGAAGAGTGGATCCCGCTCCTTGGGGTGTGATTAAGAGGGAAAAGCAACCATCGAAGCAGGCCAACTGGGTTTCCCCCTCTGCTAGGTCGTAAGCCAAATAATTTGGAGGGTCCTCGAAGTACCAGTTAAGCGCGACTCTTTCTGAACGGGGAAAAGGCCGCTATTTCGAGGGAGACCTGGCGCTAATCTCGTCTTGTGACGGCGGCGCCACCGGCACTTTCTCCCTGCGTTTTGGAAGGGCTGCCGGTCCCTCCCTTGCAATGGCCTGGGAAAAGGGCGGCGAGCTTAATCCTCGAGCTGAGCTGGGCTTTGTTCCGAGGTGAAAGGGAATCGGTGCGTCAGGGCCTTTATCTTTCGCTCTTCGACTGCTAAGCTAACATGCCCGCTTCATCCCTTTATGGGCCTCGGGGAGGCGAGGCATCTCGCCAGGATGGGCAAGAGGAATGGACAGGCCCGGCTGACCGCCCTCCCATAGTTGCCCCTCGCTGACTCAGCGCAACCTGTTGTGCTCTCCCCTTGTCACTTGGCCAGGCCAGGCTATATAATGCGGCCGGGGACCTCCAGCCCCCTATCTCCAATCTTTGCCCTTCTCTGCTCCGTTAACGGTAAGTCCCTGCGCGCTGCTTTGTATCCTGGCACTCTTTTTTGAGGATTCGCCCGCCTTCCCTGGGCTTGGGGAAGCGCTCATTTTTTTGTCGTGGGCTGATGGGTGGTGGTGGTGGTGGTTGGTGGTGAATGGTGGTGGTGGCGGTGGCTTTTCTGGGACGTTAAGTTTGCAGTTGGCCGGTCGCCGGAGGATCAGCGCGCTCAGCCGAGATGCGGCGCTTTCTTGGCCTGGATTGCCTTAGAAGTCCTTTGGAGGCGCCGGCGTTGGATGGCTGCTACTCCTGTTCTTAGCTGGCTTGGGGCAGGATGCTGCGGTCGGAATGCCGGGGGAGCCTCTTTCGCAACTGGACGGCTCGACCTCGAGGCCGGCGGGGTCCGATGGCATTTCGCTGTTCACCTTCCTTTCTAATTTTTCGCGTCTCGCATATTCTCAGCAGGGCTATTAGACTATGTCGACTGAGCGAGAGAGAAGAAGCGGAGCGCCGAGGTCTGCAGGTGTGTGCGCGCACACACATTTGAGCGCATGCCTACACGATCTGTGCGTGCACAAATGTGTACTATTCCCTAGGACTACGAGGCGTGTGTAGAATTCCGCGGGTGCAAATCTGACACCAGGGTAGCGAACGAGGCAGCCTTAAAGGAAAGGCTCTAGGCTGCGGCTCGCCTTATGCAATTGGGAGGCAAGAGAAAATTCCTTGAATTTGGGAATTCCCTTTGGCCGGCCTCCTTCTATTCCAGAATCCTCTGGTGTTCCTCTGGATCAGGGATTTATGAATTAAAATGATTGGCGATTGCTGAAGGCATTTGGCGCCCAATTCAGCAAAATTAAAATCCCTCTGCCCAAATATTATGCTCTACTGCATGTTCAGCTATCTTTGCCATATACTAAACCCTGCTCAAGCTTAAACAAGATTAAAGCATGCTGTGTGAATATAACCTCTAATTCTTCAGTAGATTGAATATTGAGTGAATGCTGGCAATTTTAATAATACTAATAAATAATGCCAACTTTTTGACTACACTGCTCTTGAATAATACTCCTAAACATGCTCTTCAGGATAAGACTCTCCTTCCAGTCTAACATAATTGCTATTGGCATGTGTAGGTCTTTATGGTGAGTGCATAGCATCACAGTAAGCTGTGTTTGATTCTTGGTGTGTTGTGTGACCTCACTTATGCTTTTTCTGTTTATGGCTAAGCATTATGTTTGAATCCAGCCAATGGTGGCGTAATCAATACATCATGGTTTAGTCTAGAACACGAAAAATGCCTTGTATGAGAATATACAAGACTACATGATGTGTAAGAGCTGAGATGCCATGTCATTCAATGAATGAATCTATTAAGGCCTTCTTTGGTGTCACACTCTTTACCTGTGTGACTTTGGTCTCTGGATGGCAAGTAGAAAATAGTGCTCCATTATGTAAATTGGTCAGGGAGAAAGAGAAATAACATGAAGAAAAGTAGATGAAAAGGAAGATCACTTACCTGTGGTATCCTTCAGTTTGCAATCCATCCAATAGCCATGCAATCCTGTTTTGTTCAAAAACAAACTTTTGAACAATTTTCCTTTTCTCGGCCTGTCAGGTGTTCCCTAAATCTTCCTCTTCTCTATTTGGCAATCTTGCATAATGCTTGCCACTGTTCCTCCTTGACATCTTGGTCCATAGTTGAGGGGCTTTGTCAGAAGGGACAGATATGACTCACACATAGCATCTCTCTCCACATACACATACATTCTCCTGCTGCTCCACAAATGGATTCTTAACCATCCTATTCCACCTCCACAGCCAAAGATCTACCCATGACCAGCCACATGGAGAGCATGGGGCAATTCAAGATCATTGTCTGGGAAGAAGAAAATTTCCAGGGGAAGCGTTCTGAATTCCTGATGGAATGCCCCAATGTCATGGAACGTGGTTTCCGCAAGATTCGCTCCATCAAAGTGGAAAATGGCCCGTAAGTGTTTTTGCAGTTCACTGTGTACATTGGGAAGCTCACAGCGGTTTCTGGTCTTTTCAACTGAGTCTTTCTTTTTTAAAGTTTATAAGATAAAGTAAAAACCAAATTAGGAAAGTTAAAGAGGAAAGAAGTGAAAAAAGGTAATTGCTTCCCATTTTTTCAGGGCAGTAGAATACAAAAGCGGTTACCATTTCAACTTTTTTGCTTTACATTTCTAAATGTTTCAAGCCATTTCTATAACAGCAAGGTCGTTCTACTCATCCAAAAACAAAGTTTTGGTTTTTTCCAGTTTTGAGTACAAAATCCAGAAGAGGTTTCCAAATGGAAACAAAACTAGATAAATTCTTTTCTTTCATTAGAACAGTCATTTTTGCCATCTCTGCCAGCTACATGTAGGTATAGTCATTCATTTGAAATAACTCTGCTTGAATTCTTGAAACCCTGCTGGCAATCAGAATCTATGTATCAAACAAAGCACAATAGTTAGTTTGATTGCAAAGCAACTTCTTCTGTGTTTACCCCAAACATCAATTAATATTTACAGCAATCACAGTGCTGCAGAGAAGCTGATCACATATGTAGGAATTAGGCTGCCCGATCTTTTTTAACTCTTAAAGAATTGGGAGAAATGTCCTATATCATATACCTTTTTTCCATAACTTTTTGTGTGATGCTATGAAGATTTGAGCTGAATTTGAGTTTGATTTTAGAAACCACATGTCCTCATACTTTTCCCTCTCTCTTTTCTTGACCCATAGCTGGGTAGGCTTTGAGTATCCTGAATATCAAGGACAGCAATTCATTTTGGAGAAAGGAGACTATCCTCACTGGGAGGCCTGGAGTGGAAACAGTGCTTATAAGACCGAGCATCTACTCTCTTTCCGGACTATCAGATGTGCCGTGAGTGCTCTTTAAAATACTCAAAAGTATTTTAAATACTTCAGGACCCTTCCTGAATTTCTCCCTTGGGCAAAAGGATCCTTTCTGTTTAAAAAGAAGGCCACCAGACAAGGAAAGCGCAAAACATGGGGGTGGGGGACAAATGCTTCATTGAATTGATCTTATAGGAAAATAACTGCATGAAAGACTATTGCAACTAATTTGAAAATAGCTAATTTGCAGGTAGAAATGGAATGCCGTCTCTGCTGGGATTTGGGCTTCGGGTTTCAAATTGATGGTGCAATCACAAGCCCAATTGGGAGGGGTTGGGTAGCAGACCTTTCTCTTCCTCTCCAAACATATCTGCAAAGCCTGCATATTTTTCTGGTTTGTTCTGCATTGGGGTGGGGTGGAAGATATGCTTTCATTGCCTGCAAGCAATGTTGCAGGCATTTTAAGGGAGCAGAATGAGAGGGTCACTTGTGTCCCAACTTATATTGTGGATCATGCAGCTGAAGCCGCTCTAGTCCCAAAATGGTGGGCAGTTGAAGGAGGCAGGTGGCATAGAGCATTACGAACGCTGTGTGGTCTTTGATGGCACAGGAGCCGTGAGCTGCATGGCCGTGCTCTTATCAATCATCTCAACTATTATTGAGCTTTTCTATAGCTTGAGTATGCAACTTTAGTTTCTATATTGTTTCTATATCTAATGAAACCAGTGGTTGCCCCAGACTCTACAACAACAGAAAATCCTCCGCTTGGAATCTAAAATAACAGGAGTATTTAAATATGCTTCTCTTCTGTTGGCTGTCTGAACTATCCTCAAATTGTGGAGGGTCCTCCTTCAGAGGTCTTGGGAGGGGGGGGGACGACTAATGAAGTTTCCTGGAACTGCTGCTTCAGAGTGACCTGGGCATTTGCTGGCTACGTGCCTTTGTTCATTTACAAGTTCTGCATCTCATTGCTGTGTTTGATGGAACTTCATTGATGTTTTCACTGAGCATTAATCTGGCTATGTGTCCTGGGGTCCCACAGTAAAAGCGTAGTGCTTGATCCCTTCTTCTTTGCTTCTCTCCGGGTGACAGGGGTCTCTCAGCTGCTCAGATGGCTTCTCCCATGCTGGATTCTGAGGAGGCCATTGGGAGGGAGACTGGCTGTGGGTTCTTTTTCCCTTATTGTTCCTTCCCTGCCTTAACTCTTCTGGTCAGCACCCCATTAGTACACAATGCTAACACAGCTCTTCCAGGGTATTTGGGGTGCCTTGCCTCATCAGCTCATCTCTTAGGTCTTCAGCCAGCCCCAGGTCAATCAGGGCTAAGCCATTCCACCCTGCATTGCCAGCAAGTAACTTAAAGTCCAAAATATATGACCTTACTCTCCTCTGTCTTTGCTTGAGCTTCCAGCTCTCTCTCCTAGCAATGATCCCCAAAGTGTCCTCGAAGTTTATGCATGAAATCCTGATAAGTTGTCCTGCACCTGTTTGTTGCTTTTCATGAGCAGTATTGCCCACTTAACTGCTGCTTTCTTTAGCAAGCTTAGCACAAAAGTCACTTTGGTACAATCAGTGGGAAACGCCACCAGGCCTGCCTGTCATAAACATGTTCACATTCACATCAAATTCTGCCCCAGCTCTGTTGCAAAAAAAATAATATATATCATGGCATTCTGCAAATTGATCATTTATGCATCCACTTCTGGTGTAGCAACAAAGCAGCCAGGTGCTTGGCACATAGCAGGATTTCGTGAGGTTAGGAGGCCATTCCTGAAATTCCTTCTTTGTACAAGAGTACTAGACTTGCAAGATTGATGTCAGCCTGTCTAGGTAGACCAGACAGGTAAACTAATTCTACTTTACTGTAAAGCTACATTAAAAGAATCCCGCAAGTCTGAAAGTAAGTTCTCCCATTGCTGCTTTTACAGCCTGAGAACTTACATTTATTACATTAAACCAGCCAATCAGATTTTTGCCTTGGGTTGTGCTAATCCTGTCCAAATTTGCCCATCCAAAAGATGACTGGCTGGGGCTAAGGTCACCTTTGTGGGACATTTTTTTTAATGCATTCATAATAATTTAGCCTTGGGTGGAAGACAAACAAGTTAGGCACTTTGATTTTAAGAAGAGCAGCCATATATTACAAAGCTACCAGAAGCAAATAACCAGTATGGGCTGCAGTGTTATCTGCCATGGTTTTAAAAGAGGGATAATGGGAAGTTGTGTGTGTGTGTGTGTGTGTGTG